TCATAGGAGACAATAGCAATGTATTTTCTAATAAAAAAAGAGAGAGAAACAGGATAAATGGAAAGAACAGGCATGGAGGCACGAATCTGGAACGCTGCCTTCTCGCATGTGTCTCCAGTGAATGAATGCCACTCTGCTCTGGTTTGTTGCCAGGGCACTCAGAGAGCAGCCTTCAAGAGTGTCCATGGCGAAGGAATGTGGAAAAGATCTCAGCGGCAATGGAGTTCAAAGGGAACCAGAGAAAACGAAAAGTGTTCTTTCAGACAATTTACTACCACAGCGGAGGAGAGCGAGCCATCTGTTAGCAGTCACGGAGGTGCAACAGGAGAATGCCACAGGGCCACTGAGCACTCAAGTCAAGGCTGGACCAGGATCCCCTGCTTTGCTCTCTCCATTCCTCTCTTGACATTTCTGACTAGACAAATTAAAGAAAACATTTTTGACAGAGAGTGGGGCCCTCTACCAAAGAAAGTTTCTCTAGTTTTATATATCCCCCCCTTTCAGATAAAGAAAGATTTATTTAATCTGGGTGCCTGCATGTATGTGTGTGTACCATATGTGTGCCTGATATCACATGGAATCTAGAACAAGGCACTGGATCCTCTTCAACTGGACTCATAGACAGCTATAAGCCACTGAATATGAATGCTGGAAAGGGAACCTTAGTTCTTGAAGAGCAGTAAATGCTCTCTTAACCATGGACTCATCTCTCTAGACCTCCCTGTTGGGTTTTTGGAGAGATAGCCTCATATTGTCCAGGTTGGCCTCCATTTTACCATGTAGTTGAGGCTGGCCTTGAAATTCCCATCTTCATACCTCTCTTTTCTGAGTGCTAAGATTACAAGTGTGCACTGTCACAGCAGAGGATTCCTCCAGCACTTTCTAACACTAAGTTACACTTACACAGCAGAAGGCCAGCCTTGTGCTGTTGAGTCTAATTCACTGTCTTACTAGGATGCCGCAAAGCTGTGACTAGTCCTTAGAATCCAGTAAGTAAAGGCCATCTTCACCATATGCTGGGTGATTCAGCAGGAAATCAGTTACAAGATCTTTTTAACAGTAAAACAAGCAGTATCATTAGTGCACATTCTGCCTTCTTTTTTGCCCTCTGTTTTCCTGTCAGGGAAGGCCCAATTTCCTTGATTATTCTGGGTAAAAACTGAGATGGGCAGCTGGCGCTGCAGGATGCATCCTGAGGTGCATACTTGGGCCTTCTGGTGGCACATCTTGGAACTGGGGCCTTTGCAGATGGTTTATATAATCCTACCAGTTTTATTTAAGTCACTCTATCACAGATGCCTTGCTGGGAAAGTGAGAAAAGTGACGCAGTGTGCAAACTGAGCGTCCTCATTAATATTTTTATTTCTGCTGAGTTAAGACAGTGTGGAGGTTGGGTCTTCTAAGTGTAACTGAGACAGTGGTAGTGTGCTGATTTAAGCTGCCCGGCTGGTCTCAGCTGCAAAAGGAATGCTGCCAGCCATACCGGGAGTGGTCCTCCCCAGACAAGCTGTCTTATAACACAACGGAGGAAGCCCTGAGGGCGAATGAGGATCCTGGGAATAAGCATGTACAAGTAAAGACTAAGCCAATCTTGAAACTCAGGTTTAAGTCATTGTGTAACACATTTATTTCACCTTTAGTATTTTATTTAAATCTAAACTTTAGTTAAAATCTGACCTTTAGTATTTTATTTAACAACTCTGTTAAGGAATAATACCAACTAGGCCAACAATTGTGTTGCTATTTGATACTGGCATTTTAACAACCAATATTTTTAACAAATTCTTAGGATTTTGCAGTTGATTTTTTAATGAGGTGGCAGAGTAAAAACGTACAAATACAAGCAACAAAAGCACTCTTGGTATATAAAAGTAACATTGCAGTTACATATGAATTACTCAAAGACTGACCATGGATGGAGGTTCTATTGAGTCTCCTTTTGGTTTTCTTGAGATAAGTTCTGTGTTCTGGAAATGTTCCTGTTATTTTAGAAAATAGCTGTAGTGGTTGGTATAAAGCTTTTAGTTTGGGTAGAAGATAGTGCTTTTATTTAAGCAAATTAAGCACACAACAAAAGCCTTAGAAATGTGACAAATATACAAGGCTTCACTCAGGCGGAGGACCAACACTTCTTAGTGATTATACTTTCCTGCTGAAAGCCTACATAAACACATCAGGACTAACCTAAAACACTTCTTAAATACAGTCAGCCAGTTAGGCTGGCAAACATGGCAAGAGCTTTGAATCCATGGCAGAAGTTTTAGGATACATTTTATATATATCACTACTAATAGAAGGATTTAAAATCTATCACAGGAGAATGCTGTGCTACTCCAGGACTCAACTTTCCCAAGTCTAAGGAGAAGCAGGTAGGTGAGAGGGTGGAAGCCCTCAGCAGTGGGTCTGTGGGGTCTGTGATGGCAGGCTGGCTGCTCGCCTAATGCAGAGTACTGAGGAAGGTTCCTCAGGCCCCGGTTAGCTGAGGGGTGATCATTAGCACCATGTTTTCTCATTCTCCAGCAACTGTAGCTCTCTACTGGTGGTAAGTAGAAGTGACAGCTTTGTCCATCTACAGTGTTCTCTCCTCTGCAAGAAGCAAAGTTCAAAGTATCTCCTCACTTTGCCTACTGTGAGGTGGCACTAGCAGAAGAGAATGTGCAGACAGCTCCGATTACATCCTCAGGCTCTCTGTGGTGCCCGGTTTGCAAATTTGTTCCATTTTGAAAGTTATCTGCTATCAGAGATTTTTGCTTTTCCATGCTCCCCTTTCCAGGCACTAGCAACTTAATTATTTTCTTCTTACACAAGTCTTTTATTGTATGAAAAAGCTAGAATTATATGTCTAAGTTATAATTTCTGTGATAAGCACTTACAAAAACATTCCCAGCTCAGCATTTAGCAACTTGTTGTCACAAGAAAAACTTGTACCTGGTACTAGAGTGAAATGAGCTAACTTTACTAATCTTTCCCCTTAAAATTAATTTGAGAAAAAGACTTTTATTTACATAAAAATGAACCTATGCCTGCTCTGCATTGTTCAGCACACAAGTTCAAGCACTCTACAGCACTCTGGGCCCCTCTAGGGGCTGCGCATTGATGGACTGACTGTCAGCTTTGAAAGTTATGATGCTCAGCCTGGCCCTGGAACAAAGACAAGCTTCCCTGTACTTACAAACCAACAGACACTGCTCTGAGCAGGGGAGGCACAACCTGCCCCTGAAGACAGCGGTGCCCTGGAGTCAGCAGGCTTAGTGGCAGCCTTTCATTGCAGAGGTGGCTTCAGGATTCATATTTCTGGAATTTCTTACTTTTTTGATTTGCAAATTATGGGAAAAGAATTTGCAAACTTTCTAAAATTAAACAGCTCTGTCCACTGGCAGATGGAAAACTTACATCAAATAATCTGGGAGTTCAATTGTTGAAGAAGGCTCCATGGAGGCAGCGCAACCTTCTTTAACTCCTATGAAGGGGAAAAAAATCAGAGCGTTCATCAACCAGAATGGTTATCAAATGCCTCTAACTTTCAAATAGATTAGAAACATCTGGAACACTTTTCCTCAAATTCTTTTCTTCCACCTCAATAGGCAAGAGCAACAAGGAACACAATGGAACACAACAATGGAGGCCTGTGAGCAGAGCCAGCAGAGCTGACGCCAGGCTTTGCACGCACCCCGGCTACTGCAGTCTCTGCACAGAAAAGGAATTCCATCCTAACCCAAGGTCAAGCTGCTATTCTTTCATCAACAGTTGTGGCATCTGCCTGGCAATTCAAAGACTGTGGTGGCAGATGCAGCCAGACAATGAGAGATACAAATTTTACAGCAACATCTACTCTTCATGAGATTCAAACAAGGCAGAAGAAATAATAAGTCAGGTAGCAGTCTGTTTGGGTCACTGGATATTTAGGTAGTGGGACCAGATAGGACATTTTCCTATCAATTCACAACAAGGCATTAATGAATGTGGATTCATACTCCTCTTACCTTTGGCTCTCACAGTACTAGACAGAGTTTAGGGAAAACAATAAAAAATGTTTAGTTACTCATGGCAATGCTATTAAAAGTGGCTTAATTCTCAGTATTACATTGCTTAACATACAACTTCCAGGGGCTATGTTTAAATATTTTTATTAATGTAATTTTTTTTTAATTCAAAGCACACTCAATAACTCAAACTCTAATTTGCTGGCAAAACATATGTCCACTATAAAACAAATGCGAATATCTGACAATTTCTCAGTCTTTTGAAAGATAAAATACACTAAATAAATTACATAGCCTCAGTGGACTTATTGTTCACTTATACAAATTTGACTCAGGCGGGCCACAAGAGCCTGAGTCTTCAAGGCAGAGCATCAAGTACAGCATCCTTCTTTGCCATAGATGGCCGACCAGTTCTAACGGATACAAAGGACGTGGGTCTGGACCTTCTTCCACTTGTGATGATCATACTTGGTTCTGAAAAGTTTTCCTACGTACACAAAAGAAGGATCCAAAGACAGTAGGCCTGTTTATCCAGATCTCTAACCCTGAGAACACACAACTTTCTGTGGTAGTCTCAGCACACTGGATCCAGTTCTCTTGGTACTAGAACGACTCAGATCACCCTATAAGGGTTTAAGTGTGGGAAGGAGAGGTCCTCTGGAATCTGGCTTATTAACTCAAGTACAAAGAGTGGTGTAGGGCGGGGGGAAACAACTTATACTTGGGCCATTATCTACTATTATGCTGATCTACATACTTCAAGAGATATGCTTTGCTATGCAATACACCCAATCCAGGTCAACTGTATCTTACTGTAAGTCCTCTGCAAATTTCACTAAGAGAAAATCATGACAGATCTTTACATTCAGCAGAGGTGGTCAGTTAAACCTCAAGATTTCAGGTCTTCAGTGTTATGAGCAGGATATGGAGTAACAAGTGATATTAGTTTACTAACAAAAATACTCTTAATCTCTATCAAGCTAATAATAGCCAGGAAGCTTGTGAAGTAAATTACTTTTACTGCAAATGACGATGATGTGAGCTTGCCTGTTTTACAAAGAATTTGACAATCTTTCTGTGCTAATATTGACTACAGCAGGGGTACCTCTGGCTTTTCAAAAAGGAGGAAATGGATAATTCTATTGCCTATTGTGTATCTGTTTAAATTAGTTCAAGAATGGCATGTACCTGTTACACTGAGGTTGTACAATATGACGGAGAAGGAAAAAGTGCCCAAGGGGAGTCTTTGGAGAATGGTAAAGTCATTTTAAAATGCCGTTATAAATCTACATAAAGAAATCATGTTTAATACTTGGCTAAAGAGAGACTGAAAAGACAGCCACAAGGTGGAGGAAAACAATGTGCTACAAAAGCACAATATTAAGATTAATTCAATAGAAGGTCACTTGCTTAAAAATCACTGTTCTACAGAGCACCACCTACAGCTCATGCTCCTCCAGTTCATGTAACACAGAAAGCATTTTTTGTTGTTTCTTTTAAACAAATGTAAAATACCTTCACTGGGATTCGGACTGGAGTTCCTCAACTTGCCAGTTTCTTCTCTCTGAAGGTCTTCCTCCTTTTCCTCCCCTGTCTCAATGTCATGCTTTTTTATTTGGTCCTTTTCCTTGTGTTTTTTAGACTTCTTTTTGGACTTCTTGTGAGACACTGGGTGGTTTTCTTCCATAGGCTTTGGACACTTTAGCAGAACTGAGCCAGGGGGTAATGTTTCCAGACAAGTCCTAGAGGTATATTTGTCTTGCTGGTCCTCAAAGATGCTACCATTTTGACTAAAACTGTCAACAGGTAGGTCTTGAGTCCCCCGGCCTTCTGGAGTGCTAGGGGAATTGGAGTTGGAATTTACAGTCTGAGGCGGATTTGAGACAGGCAGGTGGGTTGAAGGCAGCGGTGAGGGCGTGGGGATGGCAGCAGCTGCAGGGGGCGGTAGGAGGCCTGCAGAAGATTTTTCACTGGTGGGGTTCAAATGGCCATTTAATGTTGGTGGGACTCTGTTTGTCAGGTGAGATATTCGAGCTTTTTTGTTCATCAAAGGATCAATGAAATCTGAATCCAAAGGTCGTTTCTGTGGGTGGGGGGAGAAAAGGGAGAGATTTGACAGCTGAGCAGCCTTATTCATCATACTATTATTCTAAGCTTACTCAAAAATGAACCTCTCCCAACACACACACACACACACACACACACACACACACACACACACACACACACACACTCTAAGAACCCCCAACCAAACAAAAAAATCCAATTTTAGTTCTGTCAAAAGCAAAATGGGGAACAGTGCCAAATGGTGCCTTTAGGTCTTGCAGGCAGGCCACCCTAAATGCCAGAGACTAACTATTCTGATTTATGTGCATTAGACCACTCGTACAGTACTAAATCGAAGTATCATCCTCGATGCTAGCTGCAGCTGGCCTAGTTCTAGCAAGTGAATGGAGAAAGCAGTTTGCACCACCTGACTCTGTGAGTGCTATAAGGCTGGTAAAGGGCAATGTGCCCACATCACACTGTGAACCAGCTCTCTTTACATTAATTTCTCTAAGTACATCTATGTATTGATATGCCATTTCACTTTTTCACAGTACATGCATGTTCACAATGTTGTAAACTAAGTCTGTGAAGACTGGCTCATTAAAATGGTGTAGATATACTTTAAAAATCTTGTTGTATTAGTTCAATCCAGTACTCACAATAACACTATATAAGTTACAAAGGAAAATGAACAATTGAAAAGTATAAAATTGCAAACCAGTTAAAATATTTTTGTATTGTGACTTACAAGAAAATAATAGTTAATCAACCCATTAATTCATTTCTGTTTTCACTTTAGCATCCTGTATGTGATTCGGTCAGAGTAGAAATAGCTACACAGTAGTTGGCATTAAAAGTAAGTCTCCACAGACAACTGACACCTGAAGATGGACCTACTTATCTGTCCTCTGGCTGCGTTTTTCTGAGTGGACACACAGCTGGCCTCTTACTTGTGTTCCCTACACATCTGTCTGCTTTCCCCTAGTTCTTCAGGAGGATACAGAGAAAGGAGGTACTGTGTTAGTAATCCGGGGGTGGGTAGGGAGGGATCTGACAACATTGGCCCGGAACACTCAGGATAGGGGAACTCTCTGAAATGTCCCATTGAGATGATTCTAAACTAGAAAAGTCTGATTAGGAATCTTCTGATTATGGTCAAATTAAAAAAAAAAATTAAGAAAATACATTTAAAAAGTGCCACCATTTTTTAATTTGCCCCAAAAATATTTTCTACAAGAATGTTCTTCCAGACACATTTCAGATAAAATCAAATATCTTCAATTTTTCATATAACTTGAGAATTGGATTAGTGACCAAACTGAAAAGCAGAAAATTTTACAATAAATTTTGAAAGTGACAAGCAAGATATGCTTTAAGCCCTCAAGCAGTGCAGCACTGTGTTTACACTCTATTCTAGACTGAGGTCGAAACTGAAAGCCTGGCCATGAACGAGTTTGTGCTTTGGGCAGGTCATCTGTAGTTTCCCTCATTTACAAATTAGAGACTGTCTGAGTGCTGAGCTGCAGGGCAGGCCGAGGGTTTTGTAACTTCCTGACATACCTGCGGAGATGAGGCAGCATCTTTGCTGGAACACATGGGAGACTCTGATCGGCTAGTGCCAGCATTCTGAGATGGATTTAGTTTTCTGTAAAGGAAACACATTTTCCAGGTAATAAAGAGGACTCTGAAATACACAGAACAGAAAACTATCCCTGCTTCTCTTTCCCACCTCAACACTAAAATAACACTGACCAGAATATAGTAATATCTATACAATTTTAAAGACAAAAGGGGAAGAAAAAAGGAGCTTACCTAGAGAGCACTGACTCCAATGACCGTCTGTCTATCTCACTGTAACCCGGCCAGTCTCTCTGGAGCTCCTTAAACACATAATCCTTTAAGGTATAGGAGAGGTCCTTAGGATTCAGATTGGCCACCTAGAACACAGGATGCAAACAGAGCATTAGCTATTTTTTGCTGACTATATAAATCTTTTTTATGATCCTCCTGGGAATATATCTAAAGGATCCTACATCCTACCACAGAGACACTTGTGTATAATGTTCATTACTACGGTACTCATATAAGAAAGGAAATGAAGCCAGCCTAGCTGTCCGCCTTCTGTTGAAGAATGGATAATGAAAATGTGGTACACACACACACACACACACACACACACACACACACACACAGTGGAATTTTATTCAGCTGTTAAGAAAAATGAAATTTGCAGGAAAATAGATGGAACTGGAAAACACTACATGAAGTGAAGGAATCTAGTCTCAGAGGACAAAAATCCTCATGTTCTTTCTTATCTGTCTACTTGAACATTTGATGTTTGTATGTACATAATGCTGTAAGCTAACACATGCATGGCACCCCTAGGAGGACAGCTTTGTGTGGGCTCTGAGGATCAACTCTAATAACCAGGCTTGCAGAGACGCACTTTGACCCACTGAGCCATTTTCAATGCCGCTGAGTCATAATGAAAATCCTTGGTCACTTCTATTTAAGCAGAAAAATGAACAGGATCCTAATGGTGAGTTATAGCTTCTCGGCCAGCAGCATAAAGTGTCTCTACAAATACTACCAATTTTTATAATCCTGCTCTTTATTTCTTTTGTGATAATCAAGTTTATTTCTTTTATCAGCCAACTTTCCTGAAGAACTATTTATTCAAGGTCCTTGAAATCCCCTCGAACCCATAAAGTAAATCACAAACTAAAGGCTCCTCAGATATCTGTTAGAGGGCTTATTCCCAAGTGAAATCTTTTCCTACCCCTTAACTACAATTCCTAGAATGTCCAGGTCAATAATCTACTCACTACACAAATCTATGGGCTTAGGCCAAACTAAAAGTACTTAAAATTTTTTTATTGACAGTTTCATATTTTATATAATAAATTTTAGTCATTTTGATCCTGTATTCTCCTTTCTTATCCCTCTCAACAAGTCTCCCTCCTAAACACCAAAAATACTTCTTAAGGCTAGAAAATCCCATAAATCTGGGAATGGTCTTTTCAGTAATTTCACTTCCTGTTGTACCTTTAAAAAGTACTATCATATTTAATAGTTTGTCTCATATGAGCACTAATTTAGTATTAATGTTGTCATAAAGCAGCCTTTCAATCTTGTAAATAAATGAATACAAGATGCAAACCAGGCTTCCTTTGAAGTGGACTACACACAACAAGGGTTTTCTTTTTCTGTTATCTCTGACAACATACAAAACTAATACCACACCCCCACCACAACCACCTCTTGAGGTTTGTGTGTGGACAGTCTCCTGGTCACTACCCTTCCCTCAGGACCGTTCTTAAGTCTCCAATGCTCATGCCTTTATATAGGGATGTGTTCAGTAACTGCCTTCTGCCCTGTTTTTTCCTTCTTCTCCTTCCTGAATTCACTCAACTGTAAAATTCACACTGCCCAATCTATACACCAATCCCTAGATGAATGGCTCCAGCCCCAATGTCCTCTGAATACTTACGTGCGATTACCCACTGACATCTATTGGCTATGTCTAATCAACATTTCCAAACCCACCACAACCCTTACACCTGTCCCTTTCCTGCACTTCTCTAATCAGTAGCTCAACATCCACTGAACTGCTCTGGTCAGAACCTGTTCATAACTGCAGGTCCCTTTCTTTTCTTCATCTCTGTTAGAAGGTTTTCTCAAAAACGCATCTCTAGTCGATGAAACCAATTCCACCAGACCAGGTCGCCAACACATCATACCTTGACTTCTGCAGTAGACTTAAGTAGTTGTTCTCTTCCATTCTCAACCCCCAAAGCCATTCTTGATACCAAGTGAGTGGTCTTATACAAAGTATAAATCAGATTATAGTATAGTGTTGCTTAAACTCCACTGCTACTTCTCATCTCACTCAACATAATCTCCTTATCTGGTCTGCAATGCCTCCTGAAATTTAGTCTTCATTCCTTCTACCAGGCTTCCAAAAATGATGACTCTTCTTGTCTTTTGCTTTTTATTTCAACTAAGAGATAACTATCGAAGAAAGAGGTTCCCTAAACTTCCCCTTTATGAGAAAATCTCTTGAGACTCCATGAGAACCATGAGACTCCACACCTACAGTGCTATCTGGTATAGTCTAGGGACAGTTATCCCTTGTGTTCAAAGGGGATGACCCCATAGTCCTCCATGTAAAATTATGTAGATTTAATGTATCTTTCCATATACTATAAATAACCTCTAGGTTATTTACAACAACCAATAAAATATAAATATTACCTACAAGGTTCTTATATGTTGTTGTTTGAGGAATAATGATAAAGAATAAAGTCTATGTATGGTTAAAATAGATGCAATTAAAAAACTGTGGTCTTCAATTAGTTGAGTTCATAGAAATACAGCCTGTTGATACAGAGAACCAGCTGTACTAAATGAAGAGAATGAATGAGCGATGAATGTGAGCTTGATTCAAACATCCTAAGATTAAGATTCATGTTTACTGAGTTGTTTTGATTTTTTAAAAAAGGTTTTCCAGGAAAAGTCATTCTAAGGAAAAGGAAGCTATACATTTGTATACTAACTTAATGGTAACAGTTTTAAATCACATCTAGTACATTATTAAGTATATTTTAATTAATAACACTCACAAGGTACTCAAAGAAAACTACAATGTAAGTAACAAATCAGCAAAAACATCTAGTGGCACGGGCAAAACAGAACTGATCATTTTATCTAGTATGTTTGTCAACTAGCTGGTGACAAAATAACCAATTTTTTGATCATCTGCTTATTCTGTTACTCTACTCCTTTTAATGTCAGTTTTGGTCAGTTTCATGAAGCAGTTGTATTAGCTGTTAGGAATGTTCAGATAAGGAATGTATGGGTAACTGGCTTAAGTCAAAGTTCTTAGTATGTGTCTGTTTTCTTCCTTCTAAAGATGAAATGATATGTGCACGAAATGCCTAGCCATATTGTGTCTGGCATATAGTATAAGCTGCCAAAATGGTCAGTGTTACTGGCTTCTCTATCTGTTTTCACTAGGCTAGTGGTTCAGCTCATATCAAACACCCAAATTACTCAAGGACTTTCTACATATACAATTTGGTGCTCACATCCTTCTTTCAGATGCTTCACTGATTTGTGTAGAGTAGATTCTGGCATAAGCACTTCTCAAAAAGATCCTTGGGATATTCAAATATACAGCCAGGAAAACTATATTCAATGATTCTTCAAAACAACCCAATCACTAACTCTCATATCCAATTGTTAAGGGTCAAATTTATTCATTTTAAGATACAGCTATCTATACTCACAACACCACAGAACTACTGCCAGGTACAGTAGTAGCTTCTATGAGGCTGCCCTCCATCACTTTTCCCTATTTCTCTTCTGTCTTAGAAGGTAATTCATAGACTTTCTGTAGATGCATTTACCATGTATTTTGTGATATGCAACCTGAATACTGAACCAACACACACTCTGTCTCACTTACATATTAATTTCCCTTTTATCCTTTCTCCTTAGTTTTAATAAGGGCTATGTGCCATGATGATGATTTTATTCTCTTATAACATCATAGTACTATTTTTGAATGTAAGATATGAATGAAAATTTAAAACGATTATTTCTTTAGTATCGGATAAAATATGTAATTTTAAAAAATGGTGAAATTTAAGAACTTTGAAAATGTCATTACTTTTTTAGAAAAAATAATAGACAGAATTCTGTTTATGATGGATCTGAATGTTAATTTATATTTATTACCTGAAGTAAGTATGAAAAATATAGGAAATCACCATCTGATATTTCTTTAATGAAAAACAAAAAGCCTACAAGCCTACTTCACATATAACTTGTGATTATAAAGTAACTGATCACAGTTGCTCTTGAAATACTCATATCCCTTAATAAAAACAAGTGACCAATCTTAGCATACACAATGGCCAAAAAATACTAAGTAATAAGAGCTTCAAAGGATATGGAAGTAACACCACATTCTAAACGACTCACTAGTTAAAGTATTATGCCTCACCCTACCTGAAGACCAACACAGGACATTAGACACCTTTGCCTCTATAAACAGTGAGACGTAGGTGACAGCTGAGGTGACCTACAATGAAAACAAATAAAAACTTCCCCAGTTCTTAAGGAAATTTTGGGCAAAATTGGTTTTAGCCAAAAGAGGACAATGCTCACATTTCAACCAGTTTTTCATGAAATGCTCTAAAGAAAAGATTACTTAAGCCTGGCATAATGGTGCACACCAGTACCATCAGCATTGAGGAGGCTGAGGCAGGATAATCACTAAAACTGAGTTCAAAGCAAGCCTGAGAAACTTAGCAATCCTCCATCTTAAAAAACAAAAACAAAAAAACAGCCCAAGATGTCCTGTAATATTAAAGAGTTATATTTATACATGAATTTTTCCCTATCTCAAAAATAGTGACAGTATTAATGGGAGCAAGCAGAGGTTTTATTTGCTGTTTTTCAGACAGGATCCTACACAGTCCAGAACTCACTCTATAGCTCAGGATTATCCTAAACTTGTAATGCTTCTCCCGCCTCTGCCTCCCGAGTGCTGTCATAGGCATGTCCTGGTTTTGAGGTCCTAGGGATCAAGCACACTGGGCAAGTACTTTATCAATTAAGCTACACCCACAGCCCATCACGTGTTCTCAAGTGAGCCAGCCCCCCAGAAGGCGTAGACACCTCGTTCTAGTTGTCCTCACCTGTTGCAGAATTGCTCCCAAGGAGTTCTTGTCTTTTTGATTGACACCATCTTTCTGCAGGCGGGCAAGCAGCTCAGGTTTCTTGTAGGCTTTTAGTGCCAGTAAGTGAATAACCCTGTCCCTGTATGGCCTCTGAGAAACACTGCTGCCACCGTGTGTCTTTCGAATTGTATTTGCAGGGTTCATGGGGGTTGACCTTTTCCTCTCAGGCACTGCATCTGAGATGGCTTGAGGCGCTTTCCGAATTTGCACTCTTTTCCCTACAGTCCAGTGGAAAAGACATGGTTACAAATCTGGGCGTTATAATATAATGAGCCCTTTAGCTTCCACAACCCAATTTAGCTAACTTTTTATTTCTAGAAGACATAAAGGTCATTTTATTTCAATTTTTACTTTAAAGGAAGGTAAGAGAAAACATTCTAATGAAGTTGCCTCTAATATGTAGTAGGAATTTTTAATAAGATTATTTCTTAAAATAAGTACATATTATAGATGTACTTTTGCCATTTGGCTACATGTGGACAATAATTAGTGATACAAACAACAGAATAGGAAATTCTAGATTGTTGACTACTTGATGACAGGTAGAAATAAAGTAATTTCCTGTGTTACTTCACTTAAATGTGTGTAATACATCACTTATGAAAAAGTGAGAAGAAACAGGAACTCATATACTAAGGAGACATTGCCTCACAATAACATGGAGAAATACACCTTAGACTTCATAAGAAAACACACTTGACTAACCCAGACTGTGATAAATTCATAGACACAGACATCACAAGAAGTAGAGAACATCTCTACCAGGCAACCACTGGAGATGGTCTTTTTTGATAGGCAGTAACACATTTGGTAGGCAATAACACCAACCAAACACACACTCTCAGAAGACAAGACAAATAGATCTGTCTTTATAAACTATATAGGCGGACCAGACGGTGGTATGGAAAATGGTACAAGAAGACACACCACTCCCTCAAGGCCAGTGTCATTTGTGTCACTAATACTTTCTGCTTGTACAGAAGGCGGACAGTTGCCAAGTGTGTGTCACAAGTGACCTTAGAACTCTCTATATTCAAATCTATCCAGATAGAGCACCCCAATCAGCCTCTAGTAACTGTTCTTTAGCAAGGAACAGAAAGTAGTATACAATCTCTTTTCATTGTTTTGGAAGTAGAATCTCTTAGCTCACTTACTACACATCATGTCCAACTCCGTTCCCTCTGTTAAGGAGAGGAGAGAACTGGAAACGATACATCAGACGGGGGACTGCAGTAGGAGGAAGACTAGCAAGTAGGAACGACAGACAAGAAAAGCAATTCTCACGAGCTGGGTCCAGAGATAAACTGGCTTCGGGGATTCTGCTTATTAGTGTTTTTGTTCATCTGGGCCCAGACAAAACTTAGATACCATCCTCCTTCATTTCTGGGAAACTCCAGTCAGTCGGTACACTTCTTTGCAATTTGGACATAAGTGATGGCAAGTTATCAGATTAAATTCCTGCACAGTGAAGGAACACAACACTAATGGGACACTGCCTCATGATAAAAAAACAAACAAAAAACTAGTTATATAAAAGTTTTAAGAGATAGACTTAAAGCTGTTTTCTATATATTTCATAATTTAGAAAAAGCTGGATCGGATGGAAAAGGACTAATATTTATCATGTCATGTACCAATTATGGTGTAGTGAAGGGAAGGCTATATATGCTAAGGGCCTCATGCCAGTGATTTCTTCAAGGTGAGCCTTATTTCCATTTCACAGTTGAGAAATCTGGGTTTTTCAGTGGGAGATGCTCAAAATAGTAAAGTGCTTACTTAGCATGGTGGGAAGGTCTGTGGTTACGCCCAAATCTCCTCACTTGTACCTCTTCGTGGGAAAGGATTTATGAACAAATGCCTAATGCTTTCCTGTTGTTTCATGTTGGGCTGTAAGCTCTGTGAGGGCAAGGCCATGGCTGCTTTCCACCAGCAGAATGAGTCAGTACTAAGGACTGCAAACGACAGCAAGCCAGCAGAGAGGCAGGAGTCAACACAGTCTGTACTTTCCCACATTGCCAGACTGCCAGTCCAAAGACACACAGAAATCTACAATGCAAACCCCTCTAGTCTATCATTTCTCAGCTGTGACAGTATTAATGTCACATTCTTTGACTATTCAATAGAAATTTCTGGGGAAAAAATAGGGTCAGTGTCATGAAAATTTAGGAACTACCCTAAATTCCACACTTCCATCAATTCCTGTAGAAAAGAACCTGCTTAACTCAACCAAGCTGTCACTCAGAAGTCACTTAGCCTGTTACTCTGTTTCTATCTGATCTATCTCAGACCCTTGCTCTCAAAATGGCTCCCAGGGACTGCTTGGTTTGCTCACACCCTCCCAGAAGGAAGCTCAAGGAAGACCAAGGAGGCTACCTTTGCCCGGAAGAAGGAAATGAGTATGATGTTGGAGAGGAAAATGGCTTCTGATGAAGGCAAGGTCTTAACTGAGGCCTGGTGCTGGGCCCTCTGATAACTGCTCTCAATATACCAACATCACCATTCCTTCCAAATGACTGAAAGAACAACCCAACAACACTGGCACCGAATTACATTTAAACATCACTTGCTTCAGTCTCTCCAAGCCTTTTGTGCCTATTCAATCAGGAAGGAGACCCGAGACTAAGGAAAGAGAGGCGACAGATGAAGAAAACCGAGTCATGTAAACAGTAACAGAATTGTGATGCTAAAGAAAAAGAAAGAGGAAAGACGTTAGGTTCAAAGGAGGCAGGTGTATTTTATTTTTAATATTTGCCTCAGAAAGGCCCTTTTTAATAAAGCCTGTGGGAAAACCTAATTCTCTTCCCAGACTCAACTGCTAATCAATTCCCCAGGCTCTTTTATATACAGCAGCAGTGGTACCAACAGAGTTGGCTAATCTGGGACTGTATCTGAGTCACTGTTACATTTATGAGTCCATCTCTGGTTCCTCCATTTAATACTAGATGGTAAAATTATCCTTCAGCCAATGGCTCTGAGTCAACAATGTGAAAGAAAAATGTTAACACAGGCCATCAGAAAGAAATTAGCAACCAAAGCCATCTTTCTGTAGTTGTTTTTCTGCTTGACTTCCAGAAACTGGCCAGTACCTTTAGCAACAAAGACCCAAGGTGGCAGATACTATCTGCAGGGTAGGAAGGATGGCTTAGACTCTGGTTCGTTATATAATCTATACAATGGTCTCTGCTAGTACCATTTGGCACCTGTGGTACTTTCTCAAAGTTTCAGTACATGCACACACACAGGTCTCCAACAGGCACAAAAATATCAGAACTACAACAGATCTCAGATGATCTCTCATTCAGATATTCCTTATCTAATATCTGAGAAAATTAAGGTAGTCAGTGACTAGTTCTGTCACTCAGATATATATGCTAACTCATCAAAAATAAGGAAGATGGAAAAAATAAGAAGAGAATCATACATATTAGAGTTGCTGGGTTATTTTATACACCTGCATAAGTATTAATATATACAAAGATTGGTAGTTTAATGAAATTCCAGAATTTAGATAGGAGTCAAGAGGTGGATTTAGCATATTAGGGAACAAAGTGGTAGGGACTAGGGACTTTTCCTTATGAAAAATATGATAATGTTCACTACTGATGTAAACATCAAGAGCAAAAGTGGAAGTGTTACAAAACAAGTTGCCATCATGCTGTCTAAGTAAAAGCATCCCTAGTTCCTCTCCAGATAAACAGGGTTTGCTCTGTTCCCCACAGGAAAGTTTCAGAAGCTCACAGCCCAGAAAACTAGGCAGGTGACCCCTAGACTCCTAGCAGTGCGGACTTCATCCCTTAAGCTTGGCTTGTGGCCTAGCTCAGCTGGCAGAGCCCCAGCCTGGCACTGTGCCATACCACACCACAGCAGGACCAGCAGGACTCTCGTCTGCCTCCACCCAGGCTCACACCACTGAAAGGAACCTTGTTCTGCAGGTACCTTAGGCTGGCATAGGTGAGCGTCTGGTGTCATTTTACATGGCACAGTCAATTATAAACTAAGTATTTAAGAATGAGAACACAACTTATTCATGAGTACATGCCTCTATCATTATCATTATTTTTTTTTCTGAGCCCGACAACTTGATGTGTAAAATGGGGAGATAGTCATAACCTACTTCATAGAGTAATCATGAGATTTAGATGAGGAACTACATACAAAGTACTAACATATACATTGTATGTAATGAACACCCAATAAGTACTGGGTAATATTAGTACTACAGGTTGGTTGACCAACATTTTAAAGAACTGAGTGAGCTAGGTATTACAAAATGTAGGAAAATACAAACAGCTGCTCAGCAGGAAAGGATCATGTTGTAAAGAACAGATGATAAAAAGCTCAAATGCAGCTTATCCAGGTAGAGTAAAACTCAAAGTAAACAAAAGAAAGTCCAATGGGACACTAACATTTTCAGAGTTGATCTGGCTTTGACTAACAGTACTATTTGGTTCTCAACTGTGAGGTGAAGAACTGGAGGCAGTCCAGATATTACAATAACTAAATACAATAACTAAAAGTTTGTGACACAGGCCGTATTAGGGAGAGTTAAAAGGAGCCTGGGTTATGAGAAAATGCCTGAGGAGGTTAATGAACGAGACTTAGGATCAGAGAAGAGCACTGTGATAGCTGAGTGGTCAAGAACTGAGGACAAAACTGGGAGGAAAAGGAAAAAGAGGACACACAGGATGGCAGAGATACCCGCAGGGCTCTGATGAGATGAAGGAGACAACATTTTTTTCAGATTTATACTTTGATAAGTTTAGGTTTTTAGGTTTGATAAAATAGGTTACTCCTAAAGTACATGTAAATTATAATCCCTGTAAGAAAACTTTCAAGCTCTAAAATCTCTGGAACCACTAGAAAGTACATCATTGGAGGGATTGCAGATGCTGAAATGTTTGTCATACGAACTGGATATGGGGGCTCATGCCTGTAATCCTAGCTCTTGAGAGGTCATGAGGCAGGAGGTTTGCAAATTTAAAGCCAGCCTGTTTGACACAGTAAAGTCCAGAGTACCCTGGACCACGGTGTGAGATTATCGCAAGGAAGCAAGCAAGCAAGTAAACAAGCCAGCCAGCCAGCCAGCCAGCCAGCCTACCCACCTTATAAGCTAGAGGTATAAACTATAAGTGAACTGACTCAGTCCCCACATTATCGAAACATACAAAATTCATCACCAACACAAGGGACATTTAAGTACCAATCATAGGAAAAGTATATTAGTTTTTGCTGATTTTCAAACTTTAGAATAAATCTAGGTACGAGTTCTCAGCTAGTTATATTAGGGGAAAAAATCATTCTGATGATTCGAGTCCCTACAGTAACTGCTTATTGTTTATAAAATGATGGTATTAGATTAAAACACTTTTAAAAATAGTGACAGATAATTCACATTTTATAGTTAAAATGTTAAGTGGAAGAATATCTTATGGATTTAAAAATAATTCAGCCAATTAAGTTTTTAATAAGAAGAAAGGAGAAGAAAGAAGGAAAGGGAAGGTGAGAAATCTCATTGTTGGTAACGTACGAGTCAGTGTACTGGGTCCTGTGGGTACAGATGCCTGGGGAAGCCAGGAATTGTTGTTAAACCAAACTAAATGTATCTAAGCTGAGCACCAAGTCCCAGGAGCATTGGCTTTGCTCCAAAGACACTTATTAAAGGCACTGGTGGAGGCTTTCAAAGTTGAACGTAACATAGCTGGGTCAGCAATGCAAACCAGAGCAGAGTTATACAAACCTGGAGAGGTGCTGATAAGGGATTTGGGTCTATTAAGAAACTGTTTTTGGAAACATTTACTTTCCCAAATTAATATCTATTCATCATTCGGTGATTTGAGTTACAAAACCGATCAGGGACTTGAGCAGTTTATCTTCACTCTATCATTCTGTCCTTGCTAATCACTATGAATTGACTTATTAAAGCTGTTCAGGACACTGCTCACAAAAGAGACACTCACCTTGCTGATCTGGTCTTACTTCCCTTCCATCTGATTTGAGTGAGTTGATGATAAAGACAATGGGGAAGGGGGAGGGCCTTAATTAAGGGATAGATGAGGATGGGGATCATAATTGTAACTAGAGAATCATCATCCTGCTGCTTGGCTGTGATACTCTGCCATAAGCACACTTTATACTTCTACAATAAAAATTGTGTAGTAGTCTTCTGAAAACACAAAATCTGTAATAAGGAGGTTATCAACTTACTTTTGTCTAATAGATTTTGATTATAAAAATAGCTCTATAAAAGTACAAACAGGAACCACATTGTCCATCACTGAATTCACATCATGCAATGACAAAGAAAACACAAAGGACCACTGTTACAACCTCCTTAGTATGAGTATTGTGAAGTAATAATAAGGAGCCAACAGAAGGTTCAAGAATTGTAAAAGTCATAAAACTTTGAAATATGTTCAACTTACCAGCAACCTGAAGAAAAAAGAAATGACTTTTTATGTCCTGAAAATTAATTTCTGTGTTTTCATTCTTAGTATTACCAGTATTTACCTACACCCATCCTGAATTAGTCCAATCAAGCAGTGTGAAGGAGAAATATGTCCATACAAACCTACATATGGTCCACCGGGTTTGATAACTTTGGTGCTTCGATTACGGGATTCCTCCTCTGCCTGGGTCATTCTTTCTCGGGTCATCTGATAGGAGTCATTTGTTGCACACACTGTAATTTTATCTTGTATAAATCCCAGGCAATTGAGCTGGGAGGCCCCAGAGCTGTCAAGTGAGATAGTGGCTTTGTTAGAGATGACTATCGTTTTCACAACAAAGGCAAACAAGAATTTTATTACCCTAAAATCGGTAGCTTAAATAAGTTAGCAATCCTAAAATAACTGATGCTAATTTTAAAATATGATGATTTAAAATGTTTATGCCCTTAATTTTTTTTTAAACATCCTGAACAGAATGAGTAAAATGAGCTCCTGCAGACCAAATCCAACTTTTAAACACAGTGCAGGAGCGGAGAGCAGGACCCCAGCAAGCCCTGCAGTTCCACTTTCACTTACTAGTCAACTGTTTTTAAACTTTCTTGCCCGAGAAACGCTTAAAACCTTACTTTTTTAGAGGAAACGATGTACATATTTTAGAAAGAACAACGTAAGACCTTGCCCATGATTCTTTTTATTTCCAATAATGTATTAGTAGTACAGCTAAAATTTGTAGAATCTGTATTTACCACTTCCTTAAATCTCTACATAGCAATACTGAAAAATTTGGGGCAAGTGGTTCTTCCTGAAATATTAAAAAAACAAAAAAAACAAAAAAAAAAGGAAACACTGAAGTACCCTGGATATTAACACAAGACTTTAAAATGGCCTTGCTTTAAAGTGTCATGTAAGTTTGAATAACTTTGCAATCCTAAAATCACTAATATAAATTTTTACATGTAGTGATTATTAAAAATGTTTATGTCATTATTTGTTTAGAGATCTTGGTAAAGTCACAACTAATATTTTAAAAGAAAATACTACATAGCTTTAAAGCAAATGAGAAAGTATGTAATGAGAATTGGCACTCCTGCTCCTCTATTTCCAAACTGAATTGGAAACTAGAAAGTTGATTAAAATTTTGCTAATAACTCTCTTTACAATATTATTCTTTAAAAAACAGTTAATTCATCTCATAAATATTGGGCAGAACAAAACCCAAAACAAGGACAAGGCAGAAGTGGTCCCTCCTTCAAGGAGCTACTTCTCAAATGGGTGACAAAGATGGACGAAGTAGGCAAAAGGCAAGAAATGGGGAATATCAGGAAGGATGCTTCACTTGCCCTTTCGAGAGAAAGTGATGTCTGCAAAGGTCATGAAGCCAGCTTAAGATGGATAAACTTCCTAAAATTTAGGTGCCTAAAAAACTTCCTTAAAAAAGGTGCCCCAGAAAGATCATCAATTTGTGCAGGCCCAGGGTGAGCACAACATTCAGGTAAAAGACAGGCAGAAAGGGCAATTAGACAGGAAGTTGAAAATAGAATGAAAAGTGTATCATGCAGGGCTCTGGGGCGATGTTATGGACTCTGAAGAGAGTAAGAGGCTGAAAACAGAAGCAGCTCATTTGTGTTGTAGGAAGATCAATATACATGGAGAACAGACAAGGAAGAAGGGGGATGCAAGAGTGAACAATGGGAGACCAGTCAGGGGTCAAAGGAAGTGATGTTTGAATGAGAGCATAGTAGTTAGAGATGTGAAGTAGCAAAATTGATGGGATTTGAACAGTGATTAGACACGGGAGGGAAGAAGAGGGAGAAAGGCAAAAATAAAGACAGTGCCCAGGAAAATAGCCATAGACCCACCTATTGCATTAAAAAGGGCAGGTTAAGGGATAGGGTTGGAATCCTTTGAAGGAACAGGAAGAAGAAGGATACCGAAGAGAGCAGCCAAAGAAGAGGGGAAATAAATGACTTAATGAAGTCAAAGTCTGGTGTAAGGGAGTCTGAGTTTTAGCATCTCTCCCTATTTCTTAAAAAAGGAACACACACAGGGTGAGAATAAGCTGAACTCATGTCAGTCACGATGAACTAAAGATCTTAAACAGTGCTCATCTGGGGAGGTCGGAAACTTTGCTCCACAGAATTCTTTACTTGTGTTTTTCAGCTTAGTTACCGGAAAGATTTCAGTTCACCCGTACAGGTGTTCCTTTTGTTTCTCTTGGGCCTAGATCACTGTTCCCCACACTTGGGAGGGCATCACTATATCTTTGCACATTTTCAATAATTTCAATAAGCTTGTGCATAAGTATATTTTTAAAGGAATCTCTGATAAGGTAATTTTGACTTGAGATTTCCTCCATTTTGTATGTGAGAAAGTTTTGAAGGTGTAGAGAGAAATCAAAGGAGACCAGTTAATATTTGCTAAATATCCATTTATTGAGTTTCTATGTAGAGCTCAGCCTGTACTGAGAAAGCCTGGGCCTTTGAAGACATGGCACTACTAGAGTCCAGACTAGAAAAGATGGAGCTAGATGACAGATAACTTACTTATATCAGACTGAGAATTAAAAGGTTTTTGTTTGTTTGTTTGTTTGTTTGTTTGAGACAGGGTTTTTCTACATAGCCCTGGCTGTTTTGGAACTCACAGAAATTTAACTCACTTGAAAGTGATGGGATTAAAGGTGTGTACCATCACACCCAGCTGAGAACTAAAATTTTTTAGTGCTTTTGTTTTCTGGTGGAAAAAAACAAACACTAATGTATTTGTCTGAATGTTCTCACAAATTTTTGTTTCTCTTCTCTTGCTGCATCATGGACAGTTCTGCATATAATCAACCTTAAATCCTTCCCTAAGTAAGTACAATACAAATACACAGTGCATATGTCATGTAAGGATAAACCACATTACTTATTTAAATATGTTTTACATTAAAATTTTCATTTTGTGTGTGCACATGTGGGTGCATGCGTGCCACAGTGTGTGTAAGTCAGAGAAGAACTTGTAGGAGTCAGCTCTCTCCTTAACCAGGCTCCTGGAGATGAAGCTCAGGTGGTCAGGTTTGCTGATAGCACTTTTACCCACTGAGCCAAATATATATTACTTTTATGATAGAACATAGGATTATGATGTGCTATGGTTTTGAAGGAAGAACAAATTTTTCATAAGATTCCTCAGGGGATAAAGTTCAATTCAAGTCCTTCAGTATGATCCAGGGTACTTTATAAAACAATGTGGACTAGGTATAAACTGAAATTTATTGCCATGCAAACAAAAGTATATCATCATATAGTCAATCATATAGTCAGACACTGGTATGCCTCTGCTGCATAGGTAACCCTGGATTAGATATTTGGAGAACTGTTTTGCTCAGCCACAAGCTAATAGTTACATAACTATGGGTAGGTCACCTGTTAAATGAAGACCCTGAGAGCTGGTGATCCCACAGTCTATTGCAATGCTATCCAGAACTTCCTGCAATGGTAGAAATATCCTGTGTCTTTGATGTAACTGTGGTAACCACATGTGCGTTTTGAAATGTTCGTGTGAGTAAACAATGAAATTTGATCTATAACGTATGCAGTTCATACCCAAGTTTTAGGGGAGGCTGTTTTAAAGCAACACCAATATGGACTTAGGCAGTTTAAACCACACGGAAAGAGTAACTTGGAACTTTCAGGAAGGTGTCTTTGTCTCCTGTTTCAGGTTTCTTTCTCATGGCGGTTCTTACAGATTCAAGTACTATGTGGATGAGCCACAAACACGGACCAGTGTTCGTACTGTGCTCCAGTATTAAAGCCTTACACTGGGGGACTGATACTCACAAGCTTCCATCTTCATTGGGGCAGAATACAAACTCCTGCTTAAGGGTTCCTACTTTACCACAGACAACCACAGCAAAACAAGCAAATGGTTCATAGTTTCCTGAGTCAAAGCCAGTGAGAGAGTCATGGCACCCGGAGAGGTGTCTAGTCTTTTGCCCTTATTTTATCTTAAATTTTTTCTTACATTTTTTTTTGTTGGAATTAAATGTCTAGTGTCCAGCAGGCTGTTCAATAAAACTAAAAGAAGTTCCCCTAGGCAAGAAGACTTGATGGAGCAGAGGTGTAGGAAGAAGGTACACAGGATACATATTTTTCCTCCTTATCTTTACAGAAAGCCTTGGGTAGAATGTAAGACAACTTTACTTAAATACAACAAACATTTTTAAAAAATCTTCAAAATTGACTTTAATTTAAAAACTCATTTTATGATATTTTTGAATTTTATAACTTTTGTGATTATACTCCAGCGACACACACACAATTTCTAGTATATGATAGGTGGTTAATATTTTAAATAAATGAGCTGTGTAATTAAATCAATAAACATCAAGGGACTAGTTAATTTTGTTAATTAAAAGCAAGCACTCTGAACTGGGAAACACCCCCTTCAGCACGTCCTGGGAAGTACTCACCTGGAGAGTGTTTGCTGGATGCAGTCAAAGCTGCCCTGAGGGTTATCTTTCCCCACGTTTGACAGGTAGAAGTTAAAGTTGTGGACTTCACTGAGGGGATCATTTTTGGGAATTTTGACAAGCTAAAAGGTGGGAGAGAGAGAAACACTTCAGTGCTTATGAAGTTCTGCCTCACTGGTTGTCCAAGTCAATCATCCATCTTCATAGCATTTAAATTTAGTTCAAGCAACCTGACATGCTTATAACTCATCACAATCTTTCTTCATTTCTACCCTTAGGTGTGGGTATCACTCCTGTTCAGATATGAGCGCTGCTGAACAGCTTCTAGATGATATGATGGTCTCTAAGGTATATTCCACAATCTAATCTTTTTCTGTCTTAATACACATTTCATATCTTTATTTCTTACTTTTCTGAATAGTACTTTTGAAGAATATTAACTAGCAACACAAAGCATAAGTGGTTTGGGGTTTGTCTTGATGTCCCATGGTTCCCTCATCCACTCTCATGTTTATGCAACAGGGTCAACAGCCCCCAGAAGACATACTGCAAGTCCTGCCCCAGCTGAGCTCTGAGCAACACTTGGAAATGGGCAGGCATGGTTTTCTTTCTAGTTGTTTTTGAGACAGGGTCTCATGTAGCAAGGCTGGTCTTCAACTCATAGAAGTTGAGGCAGGCCTTGTACTCCTGTCTTCCTGCTTCTACCCTCCCAAGTGCTGGAATTAGAGACATCTAGCCAGGTGTTTTGTTTTTTTTTTCCTGAGGCCTTGCTCAATTCTTGTTTCCCTACTAGGTGAGACTAGAATGCCTATCAGCAAGGATTCCTTTTGATGCTCTGGGTCTGAATCAGATATACTTCCTGTGCTCAGTAAACTTGTGTCAAGGAATTAGAATCTTCTATCAATTGCTTCTCCTTTCTCAGCACCTGAAGCTATTCTTCTCTTTGGTTTACAGGGCTGCCACCATGTTTAGTGATGGTTATAAAAAAGGATATGTAGGTATGTAAAACATACTGGATCTAAGTAACATAGCAGGCAAGTAGGAAGGGACATCATGTTCTGCAACAGCCATTCTGCTCAAAAATACATCCTCTCTTTGTGAATGATCACAAAGCAGAGTTAACGGGCTCTACACACGTGTCACAATCACAGATGTGCTACTGAGTGTATCCCTGTGCCATCCCTGTCTGAGCAGAGGATACCCCTGACTCAGGCCATATAGGGAAGTTCAAGCTAAGATGGTCTTGCAGCCATCATCTCCAACTCCCAGAAGAAAGGAAGGAAGGCTAAGAATGGACTAATGTCTGTTGTCTGGCAATGGTAATCATGTAATAATTAACTGCTCAAGGAATGAGAACTTGAAGAGATGCATGTTTTCCACAGAGGTTCAAAAGATTGTGTAGAGCTAGAAAGATTGTTGAATATCAGATAATCCATACAGCTTCTATTATCCATCAATTTCAATGATCTTTGTCTCTTTATTTTGAATTAGTCCCAATTCCTGAAGAACCAAAGTGTCCACTTATTATTTACTATATAAATATCTGGGTGGGGGGAGAGGTTGCTATAGTTACTTTCTACTTCCTTTATATTTCTACCAGTTCTAAAATGCATTACCTTTGTGAACATGTCTTAATTTACTATGTTTATAGGTACTTATCAAGCTTACTTAGCAGGTGTACAAATACCATCCCTAGTTGGTATATATGCAACAGCTCGATCCTTTATTTCTGAGGAATGTAAGAGTCAAAAGGATGCTATTACTGAACATAGGTGTACATAAATTCCACCTTCATGCTAGTGCATGCACATACTCACACAGTGTTCATTTGTTTCTTTTCCCTGAGAGGAGCAGGGTACTGTTGACAAAGAAGTACCACAGCCTAATGCCTTCCTAAGGCCTGGGAGAGGAAGTGAAAAGGTTGGAAAGGTACAGACTTCTGAATGAAATCCTCCTCGACCATGATTCTTAACTTATATCCACTCTCAAGCCTAACCCTCCATTTCAGTTTGCAGAAACTGACTGTTGGGGAGATTTTTCCATAGTGGTTGAGGTCTCATTGTCAGGCTGTGGCCTAAAGTTTTCCTTTTGTGAATCTCAGACTTGGAAATACAATACCACTTTTCTGCTGAGAGTATAGAAGATTTATCCTACTTATTAGATTTTAGCCTACATTTAAAAAACTAGAATCATATTTATATTTTTCATTTTTTAAAGAGTAGACATACATAAATTTTACAAATGTATATTACTCTTTCACCAAAAAGTTTTAGCTAACTCACATCTTTAGCTCAAATGTCTAATAAACAGAGCTTCACAGGAATAGCTGTCTTTTAAAAACCATTAACTTTTGTGTGTGTGTGTGTGTGTGTGTGTGTGTGTGTGTGTGTGTGTGCGCGCGCGTGCACACAGGCCTGAGGTTGGTGATGGTAGCTTCTTTGACTGCTCCCCACTTTATATATTGAGGAAGGGCCTCTCACTGGATGTGGAGCTGACTGTTTCAGCCAGTTTGCTTTGGGGCTTCCCTGTTTCTACCTCGCATGTGCTGGGATTACATGTGCAGCCAAGTCCACCCAGCTCTTTATGTAAGTTTTGGGATCCAAACTCCTGTCCTCATGCTTCTCTGGCAAGCACTTTACCCACTGAGCCATTTCCCCAATACCCTGCAGTCTTTTATACGAAGTATATATTTTTCCTTTCTTATCTTCCAAATTTCTAAAGTAACACTGAGAGCCTTAAAGATGAGACAATTATCTTCTTAAACATTTACTTTAATTTAACATGCATGCATGTAATTAGGCTATTATCTCAAATTGGAGAATCCCATCACAAAAATATTTTGCTTGAAGTAATCACTGTGTACACTACTCACCATGTTCAGATCTGGCCTAAGGTAGATACAGGAGACTTTCATATTCTCATTCTTTAAAGGTCTCTTTGAGTGGTGGAAAAAGCTATGCTCATTTGAAAAATATGATCATGACCAGAATAGGAGAGAATCACAATGAAAAATATGTTTGTATAACTGGCTCAATGCCCTCACTGAAGGGTTTGAAATTTATTACACACAGGTTCAAACAGAACAAGAGGTGATTTGGCCACCCCTCTAAGAGGTCTGGGAAGATATTTCTGGCACCTAATGGGAAGTCAGAGATACTGATGAAATACAGTGCACAGCCTCCGAATTGCCCAGACTGAAAAGCCAAAGATCATATGGAAACTTTGGGTTAGAAACAGGTTTAAGTTGATGCCTTTAAAAAGAAGTTGGAATTCATAGTCCATTGACTTCCATATAAGAGAAAACTATGTTTTTAAAGAAATAAAGTATCTATTTCAAACAAAAAGAGCCATTTTACTTTGAGTCCTTAGTTCAGTCTTATAACTTCCAATGAGAAAATTGAAGAGCAGATAAGTAAGAACACATGAGCCAGGGAGTAGCTAACTCTCCTTTGAATATGGCTTATGCACATTTATTTCCTTTTCTTTCTCTAATTGGAAGTCACAAAACTTAAGGTATTTAGCTAAAAGTTTCAAATAGATCATGAGTCCTTAAAGACATTCCCCTGACTAGAGGAGAAGCTTAAAATACTCAAAATTAAAATGGAGAAGTTCCTCTCTCACCAAGGGATGTTCTTGCAAGATTGCTTCTAAATCAGGCCTCAGAGCTGATTTCCCACGGTAGTTAGCCCAGTCCTCAAGGCTGAGCCCAGGTCCATGCAGAACAGTACGTGTCCTCCCACACCCCGCTGCTTCCTGTGCACCATACATCTGAAGGCTGTATTAAATGAAAATAAGGTGCCATCTAGATAGAGGATAGGACAAGACCCCTACGTCACAGCAGAAGGGTGCATACTGTCAGTTCTACTGAAATTCTAGCTCTCGAATGGCTCTGAATTAAGGTCTCAGACCCACCCCAGATATGGTCTTCACTGGATTCTCCTAGTTCAGTCTTCTGTCCCCCCACCTGCTCTAACTGACACATACAACCTGCCTTTTCCACTATGTCAGTTTTTCTGCTCAGGGGCTAAGGTGCTACACAGAGTTGCTAGCTGGAGACCTAAGTGTTACTTTGTATAGCCATTTCATTCTTGAAGGCCTACTTAAATACCTAAAAAATAAACTGCATCCAATTTTTATCTTGAGACTCAATATTATTTAGAAAGTATTAAAGATTGCTGGTTTCAGTTTCTTATTTAGGATGAAGGGTATAGAAATGTATCACCATATCCAGATAATTGGAAAAGTAGTTATTAATTTTCATTCCAAAAATGAGACTAAACATCAAAGGCTTAGGTCCACCATCCACAACCTTCCTCGCCAACAGCAGTCTGTCCTTGATAAAAAGCTATGAAGAAAAAGTTCCAGGAAACTTTCAGACATTTATAATTAATATAGGCACTGTATACCATGGTGTGTAAGTCAAGGCTTCTAATTATTCAGATACAGGCTCAGGCATGTGGCAATGGAGTACTGTCGAATGGTCATTTCAACATCAGTCACAGACCTGCTACCTCAAGGCTCTAGGGCAGAAGTACATGCACACACTGCTGAAACGTTCACATGTATGTACACTGATATCTGCTCAACAGTGGTTGGTGCCTGTGCTGCAAAGATCCCCCCACCGTTAAGTAAAATACTTTCCACTCCATATTGGATCAAAGTATATGCTACATTAAAAACAAAACCAGTAAGGCTTTTTCATTTAATTAACTGTTTTGTATTGTGGATATTACAAAAGACTTAAATGGCAGTGCTCTTCTTTGGCAGTAGTTATATGAGCGTTAATACCTAACCTTTTCTGCTCCATTGACTGTAAATGCTCAATAAGACATTTAGGAACCAGCAGTGCTACAGTTTGATATGGCAGCTCTTGGGGTTAAAGCTGAACCACAGGACCAGGAGTCCAGGTCATTTTTTCACGTTTCTTCATTTTATAAATTAGAGACAAAGAGGCTCAGTGAGCTGTTTGAGGTTATATTCACACTTAAAATTGCCACCCCTATTCTCTCAGACCACTTTCTCTGCTCCATGGCTGTCTGAAACACTCATTACCTTGTAATACTAAGATATTATGTTTATGGCATTTCTTCCCCCACTAGAATATAAGGCTGTTCAAAGACAG